CTCTTAAAATACCCCAATGCCCTTGTTTCTATGCGGAGCTGTACTTCATGTCTTGACTCATGTTCTCTAAAAAATCATGTTGCTAAGTCCATAAAAAACTGAAATTTCAACCTCTTGTGGTACCTTAAAAATACAATAACAAATGTAATATTTTTTCAAATTTGTAGATTTTGACGGAGATATTCAAACAGGCCGCAACCCATTGAAAACTTGTCGATCGTAAGTCAATTTTGGACAAAATGGTTCTCTCCTTGCCAAATACGAGACTAGCGTTAGACTTGAAACACAAGGAGGAAAGGTGTAAAATGTCATTTTCGAATTGTGCTCCTCATTAGTCGACGCCCGACTTGTGAAAGGATTAGTTGCCTGGCCAACTCGACGGTGGACTCCTTCGCATCTAAACTACTCCAAGTTTGTGACAAGTTCGGCGACACCGTGCAAATTTTGGAACTCGACATCGCTAGAGAGGTCTATCTATCATCGGTGTATCAAGTTTTGAAAAATTCCTGCCCGAACTTGAGCAATTGCGAATTAGTTGCACACGTTCACCGAATTCAGCAAGTTCAACTGATCTGATTCCAGCCGGAGAAATTATGTCAATAAAACAAAATTTGATATTCTTCAAGGTCGTCAAGGCCAGTTCGAAACGGGTGACTTCTCATCTAACCAACTTTATTGACGTGGTTATCAACGCCTCTCCAAATTTGAAGGAGGTCACTCTTCCGTGGGGATTTAGCCCAGATTTGTCAAATTCCAAATATCTCGATTCGTTAACAATAGCGCTGGATAACGTTGACCCATGTGACATCGTCCGAGCGGAAGATAAGCTTTCAAATATGTCCCGAATGTTGAGTCAAGTGAGGAACCAACTCGTCAAACTAAGTTTTGACTACGTCGACAATACATACGTAGGGTACGGATCGACAGAGTTGGACGATACAAAAAATTTCAAAAAAACTCACTTCCACTTGCCCACCAAGAAGATGCCCAAATTAAAAACGTTTCGAAACCGGATGACTGACGTTTTTCGGTGTGACGACCTCTTGCAAAATATCGTGCCCAATCTGAAAAGTCTCATGATTGGGAAAGCGTTTCAGAAGTCGAAATCTGTGGATGACATTGTGCAAAATATTTGTCTCTCGAAGAAGAAGGTTTTGCCAAACATGACGAATTTGAGGGTTATGCAGTTGCATGATCCCAAACTTTTGAAACGATTGGTGACTGTGTTTCCAAACTTGGAAAAGTTGAAGTTGGACACGTTCGACACTAGGGATTCCGGCGGAAAGAAGACTCTCCTGAAGTTGGGGGTAGTGCTCAAGACGTGTCGGGTTGGAGGGTGTTGAAACATTTGGGATTGAGGTTGCCAAAGTACCCAAAACAGGTTGAGGATGTTATTCAGGCTCTCTTAAAAGCAAAGAAATTATTCAAGCGTAAGTTGTCGTTATTAACTTAATCACGGTCACCTAAATTTTGAAAATATATTTCCCTTTCATTTATCAACATGTTAATTGTTAATTTCAGAACTGAAAACTTTAAGCCTTGGGACGTGTAAGTTTGACAACAAGATTCACGATTTGTCAGCGAACGAAATCGATTTGTTTAAGCAACTCCTCGTCGCAATTCGTGGAATGGACCGGGTCGGAATTGCCGGTATTTATGTGAGTCACATTGTTACATATGCATTGAGACGAATAACCGATTATGCCTGACGGAATGTTTTTTTTTTTTTTACTTTATTCCAGTATGGCAAAGAATCAGCAGAAAGTATACGCGCCTTCATGGCGCTGAATGAAATGCGCGTGTCTAAGTTTTCTGTGGTGGAAGAAGAGTCTGAAGAGACGGATGCTGACAGCGTGAACTACGATGGCGACTACAATTGGAGTATGGATGGAGACAGCAGTGTGGATTTCGAGTTTTCGGATGATTGGCACGAGTCTTACGATGATTGGTGTGAGTCCTATGATGATGACAGCGATTAGTTTCATTTCAAGCGTTCCAAACTTTGTTCCCTAAATAAATATATGCACTTTTTTTCTCAAGTAAAATTGATACTCCATCATTAAATGAATATAAAGTAGTTGAAATTCCTCGAAATGTCTTGCCAGCCTTAAAATATTAAAGCTTAAAAATTTAAGTGCTTAATAATTATTATTGAAATACGTCATATAGGGCGTACTCACGACAACTTCTTATTTCGCATCGCAACTCATTTAGCAAACTTGCGAAGATCAAAATATTTCTGTCGTGAGGGGATTCGCAAAATATGAGTTCGCAAATCTCTCTAATCTCGCAAATCTACTGAAAAACACCAATTTTGGTATTGTTTCCATGGATTTCTTTAATTTCTCCTGCTGGAGATGGTGAGGATGAGTTTGCGAAGTACTTTTGCGAAATAAGAACATGCCCAATTGCTGGGTAAATTTGCGAAAAAAATCCCATGGTTTTCTAGCAAAATTTTTGCGAAATCTCGCATATCTCGCAAAACTTCGCAAGTTATGTTGCTATGCTCAATTGCGAGATATGCGAGATATGCGAAGGTTGACGTGAGTACGCTCATAATAAAATATTCAGTAAACTGTATGTAAATACTAAAGGGTTTCAAGCACTAAAAGTATTTCAATATTACGTTTTAAATTAATACCAAACGTTAAGTGTGTTGAACTTCCTTTAATTCTTTTGTAGCTTATATTGCATGTTGCATTTTCACAACTTTTGTCCTTATAATCACAAAAGTCGAAATTTCAGAAAAAAAACTAAAAACAAAATTTTGATTGAAGAAGTTACCAACGTGTTTTATGAGCAATTTTGAATTATTAAAAATCTCAAATTAAGTCGTAGTGCGCTTGAATTTTGAATTTCAGGAGTTATTTGTTTAATAAATATGTGGAAATTTCTAGGGACACACCCTTCGTAAAGCATAATATGTATGTATGGTCGACTTAAGGGAGACCCTGTATGAGAAGATTTCCATACATGCAAAAATGGCGCATTACTGTATGTGTGGTGGGGGCAAAAATTATCAAAAATTGTTGATCACATCCTTCAAGCATGACTAACTATGAAATCCGAGAGCAATTTGTGAAATTAACCTTTTAAGCATTTTGACCATGTATGTCATGGCGAACAATTTTACACGAAGTGCCGGACGAAAACACAACAATTAAAAAGATCCATCCTTAGTTACATTATCAGTTTTTTACGAAATTTATTAAGTAACTAGCCTATAAGCCCGTCCTAAAGACGGGCAACGTGAAACTTTTTAACGCTGCTAAGGAATTTTTTCGTCTTGCAAAGGAATTTTGTCGACTTGCTAAGCAATTTTCTTGAAGTTGTTAAGGAAGTTTTTTTATGTTGCTAGGGAATTTTTTAACGTTGCTAGGAAAATTTTTTTATGTTGCTAAGGAAATTTTTTATGTTGCTAGCGTATTTTTTTATGTTGCCAAGGAAATTTTTGTATGCTGCTAAGGTAATTTTTTTATGTTAGTAAGGAAACTTTTTCAACGTTGCTAAGGAATTTTTTTATGTTGCTAAGGAAATTTTTTTAACGTTGCTAAGGAATTTTTTTATGTTGCTAAGATAATTTTTTTATGCTGCTGAGGTAATTTTTTTATGTTGCTAAGGTAATTTTTTCATGTTGCCAAGGAAATTTTTTTATGTTGCTAAGGTATTTTTTTTATGTTGCCAAGGAAATTTTTTTATGTTGCTAAGGTAATTTTTTTATGTTGCCAAGGAAATTTTTGTATGCTGCTATGGAAATTTTTTATGTTGCTAAGGAAATTTTTTGAACGTTGCTAAGGAAAATTTTTTATGTTGCCGGGGAAATTTTTTAACGTTGCTAGGGAAATTTTTTAACGTTGCTAAGGAAATTTTTTATGTTGCTAGGGAATTTTTTTAACGTTGATAAGGAAATATTTTTGTTGCCGGGGAAATTTTTTAACGTTGTTAGGGATATTTTTTAACGTTGCTAAGGAAATTTTTTATGTTGCTAAGGAAATTTTTTAACGTTGCTAAGGAAATATTTTTGTGTTGCTAAGGAAATTTTTTAACGTTGGTACGGAAATTTTCTTATGTTGCTAAGGAAATTTTTTTGTGTTGCTAAGGAATTTTTTTATGTCGCTAAAGAAGTTTTTTTAAGTTCTAATCATAATCATAATTATAATTATAATAATAATCATAATTATAATCATAATCATAATTATAATCATAATCATAATCATAATTATAATCATAATGTTAATCATAATCATAATCATAATCATAATTATAATCATAATCATAATTATAATCATAATCATAATTATAATCATAATTATAATCATAATCATAATCATAATCATAATTATCATCATAATTATGATTATAATCATAATCATAATCATAATCATAATCATAATTCGTATCTGTTCCCTGATTGGTGGAGCAGGAAAACCAACAGCCAATCAGAATGCAGGAATGTCACGGAAAATTTCACGGGACGGACTTTTCGAAATTATAATATAGATTATTGTCGACTTTTAATCACATCGCAACGTTAAAATATTCGGATTACATCCAAAGACTGACTTTCTCTCGAGTTGTGGTTTTTAGCCCGAACCAGGGCTTATGTAATTGTCATGTCAGTCGAACTGTCGAACGAGTTAACCAATTTTGACCAAATTTGGTGCAGACATGTATCTGGGCAATGCAACGACCAAGTTAGAAGATGGGTTCGATCAGAAAAGTTTTGAACCGGTGGGGGTCATATAAGTGGGTGGGGTATTATGCACCAAAATTTCAAAATTGGTTAGAAAGCTGAAATTCGACATGGAGCGTTCTAGTTGCTCGTAATGGAAGAATATGAAGTGAAATTGGAAAATTTTGTCAACCGGAGGTACCCGAGGGGGTGACCCATACCGATTTTTCAAATTCATCCAATCGAGCTGAAAATTGGTATAGAGGCCCCTAATGTAAGAATATGAAGTGAGATTGATAAAATTTTCATATGCCGGGACCCGTTGGGGTGACCCATACCCATGTTGATATTCAGAAATTGTCTTAAAAAGCTGAAATTTTTAGAATTTGGTGCCAAGTAATATTAATGACTCGGTGAGTCACAACCCGCTTCTAAATTCTTCTTCGAATTGACCGACATAATATCACCAACCTCCGGTTTATGGATGGTTAAATGTTTGCTAGATATTTTCTATTTGACACCCCTTTTT